CACCACCACCGCCTCCGCCACCAACACCACCTCCACCTCCACCTCCACCCCCGCCATCGCCATCGCCTACGCCGCCACCTCCGCCTCCACCGCCGCCATCACCGCCGTKGTGTMATCAAATTGATTACATAATCGATTTGATAATYGATTTGATTACACAATCCGCACAATTGCATAATCWAATCAATTACGTAATYGATTTGATTATGAAAATGCATGGATCATAAACTTTAAGGCGGAAGGAAGAAAAGAGAAAAAAATTCTCCCCAAAATATGAAAACAATATATGTTGTGCAACATCTCAATTCAAGCAACGTTTGCTTGAGTGCCATCCCATAAACCTCATCAAAATCTTGGGGCGGGAAAAGAAACACCTTCAAAATTTAAATAAGAATTCCGGGATGGTGCTCAGGCAAACATTGCATGATTGAGATGCTGCACAATATATATTTTTCCTTGTTTTTTTGGAGGGCTTCCCCCCACCACCACACACACACACACACTTGCACGATCCATGCATTTGTGTAATTATATCGATGATGTAACCGATATGATTATGCAATTACGCGGATTGCATAATCAAATCAATTAAGTAATCGATTTGAGTACGCAATCCACGCAATTGCATAATCAAATTGATTACGTGATCAATTTGATTACGCAATTAATGCGGTGATGGCGATGGTGGCGGCGACGGAAGCAGAGGTGGTGGCGGAGGCGATGGCGGGATTGAAGGTGGAGCTGGTGGCAGCAACGAGGTAGCGGTGGTGGCGATGGCAGAGGAGAAAGAGTCAATGGTGGCGACGATGGGCCCGAAGGTGGTGCCCATGGCGATGGTGGTGGCGATGGAGGTGATTTGATTACGCAATTAATGCAGTGATGGCGATGGTGGCGCAGGCGGAGGCGGAAGTGGTGGAGGAGGCGATGGCGGGGTTGAAGGTGGAGCCGGTGGCAGCAGCGAGGTAGCTGTGGTGGTGATGGCCGAGGAGAAAGAGCCGATGGTGGCAACCATGGGCCCGAAGGTGATGCCGATGGCGATGGCGTTAGCGATGGAGGTGGTGGTAGTCATGGCGACTTCAAAGGCGGTGATGTCGGTGGCGATGGCAGTGGTGATTATGGTGGAGGTCGATGGATGATGGTGAAGGCGGAGGGAGGAAAGCGGCAGCGGGCGGAAAGCGACTGAAGGTGGGAAGTGGCGGAGGGCAGGACGTGGGGGAGGGCGGAAAGCGGCGGAGCTCACGGGGTGATGGTAGAGGGCAAAGGGCAGAGGACGGGGGCCATTGGTGGAAGATGGCGGAGTGCAGTGGGTAGATGGCGTAGTATAGTGGGTAGATGGTGGAGGGCAGAGGGCGGGAAGCCTCCCGCCTCTTTTGCCCTCGCTAAGTATATAGTTTAGACCACCAGTACATAGCCCGAGCCAAGTTGAGAATCTGGTGGAGCCTCCCCTAGAATTTTGGAGGTCATTGACAAAATACTGTGCAATGGCATAGACTTAGCTGTGATGCAGAAAGACATTCCAGCAGCCCCCTAGACGAGCCCTGTCCCGATTCCCCTATTTTTTCGTAAAGACTCGTTTAAATTATCCACATATACTGATGATTTAACGAACTTACTTTTCTTGAATTTGTCGATGTTAAAAAAACTCTGCAATATACTAGTGTATATAACTTCTTAGAAAAATAGTTATTCCCAAACAAAAAAAAGGAAAAAAAACAGAGCCTCGAAATTTTGGTAATAACATGTTTATGTTTTTTTGCCCTACATCTATTCCATTATGTGTTGGGAAAAGTGGTATATTTGCTGACATTTTTGTGACACTGGCCAATGCACGTCTTGTGTGAACGATTTTAAAACTAGTTTTTCAAAAATTACTCAAAGTTTTTGAAGCAGGTCCAGTTTTCACAACTTGTCTACTTTTCACGAATAACCTGTTGGATCTGACAAGGAAGGTTAAACCACCAGTACACCCGGTTCTGCCGAACCTTGCTGCGCGCCAAGCTTTTTCGAACGGCCAACAACGTTTTTTTTTTTTCATTTTTGGTTGGCCCCACCAACCGGTAGGTCGAGCATCCGAAGTTTCATAGGCGACGAGTTTCTTTCAGTAAGTTTGGGGTCATGTACTCATGGTATAAACCTGACCTTATTCGGGCGTATGAAAACGATTGGGCAAGGGATGAGATCTTTCAACTTCCTATTCAGAGAGAAACCATCAGATTTGAGGGGCCCTACGTGTTGGCGTACGTAGTACAGAGCAGGGGAAAAACACTTACTAAATGGCTCATTAAGATTTAGAGTTTGGGTGATCAGATAGGAGTGGTCAAAATGAAAAGTCAAAATACAACACTCCTTCGGGTTTATGGCTCTACAGGTTCCCTTAGATGCGATAATATTACACCAATTACAAGAGTTGTAGGCATGATCACCACAGATTATCCTCCAGTGCGAATCAATCAATGTTGGAGCAGCAATGAAACCGATGAATCTGAAATATGATGTCGACTCGATCCCCCAATTTCGGAATAGTAGCATAGTAGAAAATCTAGAGATATGGGTCAAAACTTCTAAACTAAATGGAGATATGAGATGACTTAATCTCGTTTGTTTCTCAACTTCATGGAGCAGAGTCTCTACAGCGACTTCTTTCATGAGAGGTATGAAAAGCTGGAGGACTTTGTACCATCCATTCAAGTGTAGTTGAATTTGGCTCAACTGCCCAAGGCGCTTGCAGAGCGCGCACTTCACTGGTTAAAGTGAGATAAACAACCACAAAAAAAACTAAAATTCCTACAACAGAAAGATAAGAGCCAAAACTACTAAGAAGAGTGTACGAGAAACAGGGCCGGGAATCGAGAGAACCAAAAAATATCTTTCTCCACTCATCAAAATGTGGTGACAGTTGGAGGCATGAACTTTTTGCGTAAATGAAAATCGAGCAAACGGACAAAACGGACATTCTCATCAATCTTCCCACCAGGCTAGCAGAGGCAAAAACCTATACCAAGGTGTTCTTGCCCTTAACAAATTTTATTTCATTAATTTATTTTATTTTATTTTTCGCACAACATAACTCATGTATAGCAAATTTGTAGAGTCCAAACAATAGTTTCGAGGTTGCAAAAGCGATGAGGAGGTGGTAGTAGGTTAACATTAAGGTCCTGGGTTTCTACGAAAGCATGGCACAAGAGCAAATTCACTATTCTCATCGACATCAAAATATCCAGTGGGTTACACAATACGAGATATGAATGAGATTGAATTCATGTGCAGGTGGGGCAATCACCCTCCAGCTGGTCATCTTAATGTTCCCTGGAACAATGCCTTAGGAGTTGGCCAGACTTCTAGCTGACGAGCATTTTCATTTGTCGCTGCAGTTTGCAAAAATTGAAATAATTGGTAACTTCCAAGCCACAACTTTTCAAGATCTTGATTCAAGGGCAACACTCAGACCAAGAGGGAATAGAAGTGATTTAAAAAAAAAGATGCAGGAGGACAGCAGGGTTAGCGAGCACGCCCTTCATCAGGTTCTCAACGTGATACAAGGGGAAGGTCACCCCTTTTTTTCTGTTTTTTTTTTCTGTTTTTTCCTTTCAAAAATTCCAAGGGGAAGGATTCTTACTGTATCTCTCATATTTAGTGGGTATAAATCAGGCTGCTTTTGTTCAAGATAGATCCATCTTTGGCAATATGGTAACTACATAAAGACCTTGGAGACAATTTCCATTTTGTGTGCTACTATTAACCATGGAAAAAAACTCCGTATGAATTGGGCATAATATTTATGTGGTCACTATGCTCAAGCATGTGGGGGCTTCGGTCCGAAATTTTGCAAAATGGTTGTTAGATTGCATGGCAGTTCAAAATCCTCAATAATGATGAATGCTAGAGCATCTCAACCACTTTCGCTGACCAAGTCACCGAGGCAAGATCACCTCCTCGCGCCGTTGGTCTTCATGTTGTAACTCGAAGTCCTTGTCTATAATGCAAGATATACACATTATAGTTGGCCTACAGGTACGGCACAAGATGTGTAAGGTAAACACATGAGGTGATAATCTCTTTACTGTTACTGCAAACACTCAATCTTCATTAAAAACACTTAACGTTATAAGCCGCTATTTACTAAATAAGTCAATCTATATCCTTCTTGCACAATACGTTTTGGTTAAAGAATTTGGAATGAAGAAAGAAGTTGATGGATCAAGTTGCAATCGACATATGTAACGAGTACCAAGGAAAGGAGACCCGATATAACAAAATATAATGCAAATGGCATCCAGATGGGGCCTTGCCCCACACTTATCGTTGTTTGGTAGGGAAATGGTTCTGAATGTGGCACTTTTTCGCTTATTTTGAGCTCTTAATTTCTTAAAGCAATCACTCGAAGCAGTGAGAAGCAAAGCAACAATGTTTGTCTCGAAGTCGTTTGGCAAGGTAGTTCAGGGCTTCATCTCACAGGTCGCGAGGGAAAATATCTACACTCCGCAAAACAAAGGTGGTCCAGGATTGTTTAGGATTGTTAGACCCAAAAAAGGCAAAATTTAGCTTTCTTGGCCCAATTGCTAGTGAAGGTAATTTCCGCAGAGGAAGACGATCATTAGGTGCTTATGGCGGGGAACTCGTGTTAACAGAGGAGTGGTAGCTACCTAGTATCAGAGATGTGTGGCTCGGTTGTATGCTGAAGTCCTTTCTGTAGAGACAAATCTGATTTCTAGTATGTTGTATGCCTAGAAAAGGATTAAACCAAAATCATGGTTGAAACCTTTGACTAAAGCATGAAGTCATAAAGCAATCTTTGTTTGACAATCCATCTATCCTAAATGCACAAGGTTTTCATTTTGCAGTGGACTCTAACTCGACTCCGTTTGGAAAACCCTTGGTGCCAAAAAACGTGTTGAGGATCAAGGACCATCGAGTCCGGAGGACGAATGTGGCTGCTGGTGCTCAACTTCAGACCTTAAAACTTAAAACCACCAGTACCTCGTAAAAGTGCTCCGCGTTAACGGCCAGCCAAAAGTGGAAATCGCGCTGTTTCTACTTGGCTGAATCAGGCCTACCGGCCCAGGCCCATTCATCCCAAAAGTCACCCCCGTTAACGCGGAGCACTTCTAGGAAGGTTCGTAGAAGAGAAGGAGACAGACTCTCAACCGATTGCGCCCTTCCCACCCGAGTGGCATACATTACTGACTTCAGAGCTCACCAGCTCACCAACCCTCCAGGTATATGACTGGCCGTTACCGCGGAGCACTTTTAGGAGGTACTGACCCTTGGAAGTCTCTGAGTCCATCTGTAGAAGGTGAGAACAGTGTCTCAAAATTTTTTGTTTTTGAAGCAGATGGACTCAGACACTTTCAAGAATGGACAACTTGAATGACGAGATCTGATGTTCTAGCTTAGGTAGATTCGGATGAGAGAGACTCGATGAACCCGATTGGCTCAATGGTTCAAATAAGGCTCAGGGAAGTTTGTGATGAGGATGGGAACTAAACCTGCTCAATCTGGGCTAACGGGTTACAACTCAGGAAACTGAAGTTGGGACCCCATTATGTGGAGAGGGTCCAAGCCCAAACGTTGGCTCGCAAAGGATTCCATCAAGATAAAACGTACGCTCAACTCCGAAGATCAGTTCCTCCGCCGTCCATAGCCATTAAACGTTGGACACAAGTCACTGGTAAGGACCCTACAGATATCCAGACTGCGGCAAGGTCCCACTTGCGCACATTAGGAGATTTCGGCCGTTGATCTTTGCTATCTACGGTCAGTATCTCTTAAGTCGTGCAACTGGGACCTAGCCCCTGGTAGAGATATCATGGTTGAACTTACAGTGCTGGGCCCGGTTCCCAGCACGTGATGCTCCCCACGAATAGATTGGAGCAATACTATAAAAAAAAAAAAAAAAAAAAAAAAAAAGGTTGAACTTACAGTACATCCCGTCACAAAGGATGATCGCCCCTCGATGGATGCTATCTATGATGGTTACCCCCTCTGTTGTTCGGCTGAGGAGTAGAGGTATAAAAATTGACCGGATGCGTAAGCGATGTAAGTAGCCATTTGAGTATACTATCTATTTGCGGCTTTGCTGTCCATTATCAAGAAGAATTTGGCTCTAGTGGAGGAGGTTCCACTAAGAAACTATGGGTGGGGGACAGTTTCGTATGGATCGAGGATTGGGTGTCGTTAGGGGTCGT